AGCCTCGGTCCAATTTACGATTCCATAACTATTATGTCATAACCGGCAGAGCATACGTATTGATGGCCTTGATCATGTTTCGCGCATTCAATCCACTGTTAAGAAGCAAATACAATCTCTTTTTGTATTCTGCAGTGAGTTGCGTCTTGAGCTGCGGGTGAGGTATCATGGCTGCTTGCACTACTCCAAGGTACTTGTATGTTTCATTGAGTCGTAGCGGCTCTGCAATGGTCTCATCGCCAACCTGGATAGAGCATCCTTCATCTGGTTTTCCTCTCCTGACGTGCAGCACGGCACACTTGGCCGGGTTGAGATTCATGCCGATGTCATCACCAACGCCACACACGGTAGACACGAGGGTAGTCACATCCTTTGTAGTTTTCCCATAGAGTTTAATGTCGTCCATGTACCAAGAGTGATTGATAGACAACTCGGCGTCTCTGCAGCTGACTCTGTATCCCAAAGGCAATCGGTTGAGCTCAAAACTGATTGGGTTTAGCGCCAGGCAAAACAGTAACGGGGATAATGTGTCACCTTGAAATATGCCTCTTCTTATTGAAATGTTGCCTGTAGTGACCCTGCATCTTCCCTGGTCGCATATGTGCATTGTCGTTCTCCAGTTCTGCATGCTACGAGCAATAGTTGTGACCAAAGACGGGTGGAATCGATACATCGTCAAAGCATGTAGAATCCATTCATGCGACACACTATCAAATGCCTTTTTGAAGTCCAGGTATGCCATGACCAGATTTCGCCCTTTCGTATGGGCATCCTCCAGAATCATCTTATCCACCATCAGGTGCTCCTTGCAACCAAGACCAGCTGCTGCACAACCGCGCTGCTCCGTTGCAAGTATTTCGTGTTGATTGATGTGCTGCCACATAATCTTCGATATGGCGGCGGTAAAGAGCTTGTACTGTATCGGAAGACACATTAATTGGTCTATAATCTTTGGGCATTGCCGAAGGTGGAGAAGTCTTAGGAAGGAGAGTAGTAGCGCCAGACGTCAACCATCCCGGAATGTCACTGTGGCCATCTATCACCCTCTGGAAGGCTCTCCGAAGGTAAGAGTGCAGGCTTGTCAGCCTCTTCCACCAGCAGGGGCGTACGCCGCTCGCCTCCAGGAGTGGTTCCCATGCCAACTGATGAACCAACATTACACACAATTGAAGTGCTGTTTTTCGTACCCCACAGAGTTTCTGCATATTCTCCTCAGACTGGGTGAAATTGACATCCACGAGCTGCTGGACGATGTCATTGCTACGCATTTATGATTTTAAAAGACTGAACTTTTCCCCGTTTTATGGATGTTTTGTTCAGCATGACGATTGCATGCAGTCTTGAAAGCTGCCTAAGTTTCGATTCATCTGGAGCAAACATCACACAGGGCAAGCAGAAGACACCATTGCATGCCTGTCAAAAGACTATCCAGGGTAACTCCTCCAACAAGGATAGTTGAAAGTGGCGCTGTTTGCCATCCATCTGGACACGCACAGGAAATGAAATCCTTCGCCTGCGGTGGCGCACAATGATTGTCGATGACGGAAATCTTTTCCGTGTCCAGCAAATTTCGGGGGACTGGATTCCACTGTGGACGTTGACTTTCAGAATCTCCCTTCCAACACACTCCCATGTCATTGAAGTAAGTTTTGGATGATCCAGCAGCTTCCAACAACGGTCGCTCTACAGCTTCGCCGATCATTTCTTCCTCAGCGCTGCTCGTTGCATGCATACTTCACTTGCAAGTCAGGTGCGTCTGCATTCTCAACTATCGCTTGACCTTCGCCACTAGCACTGGCTACACGCTTTGCCTTCAGCTCAAAGTAGCTCTGAATAGAGCGCTGGCCCTTTGGATGTCGACGCTTCATTTTTCTTTTCCACAAAGCGAAAGCATCGTCAAAACACGACCAAGTTTGTCAAAACAAACTCCAAAAGAAAATTTGACTCTGAGGTCGAGGAATCCGGCGATGTAACTAGACTACCGGTACCGGTAGAGACTTTGTTGAACCCATGGCCCAGTTCAGTACGCTGTGTCACACTCCCAGCACCACTTTCACACCTGGGCTAGTCATCGTCCTCGGACCGTCAGGCGGACTCCAGACATGCACTGCATGCACTTGCGCTGTGAGTCTGTGAGCGCTATCCTATTACCGGTTACTAGCGCTGGGCCTGGATCAAACAATTCTCTGTACCCATATCGAATTTTTTTTACTGGTTCCCGGGCATCCCGGGAACCGCCCTATGTACGCCCCTGCACCAGTACCCATGCAACTTGTCATGGCCCGGAGCCCTCCACAAGGCTAGTTTGCGCAGGCAGTCAGCCAGGATGTCCTGGGTGATAACTGCGCTACTCTGCACAGGGACGTGTTCTTCATAATATTCTGCTTGCCTTACATACCACTCACCAGCGGTGAACGGTGCAGGTGTAGACAAAAGATCACTCCAGAATTCGGTGGCTTCACCCGCCTCTGGAAATTGCGGCGTCTCCAATCGATTTGAATATTATTATTATTATTATTATTTTGTTTTACATCGGAAGCTCAACAGTGCAGCTGCACAAATATGAAGAGGCCGATGGGACCAAAAAAAATATAAAAAAAATATAAAAAATAAATAAACAATTTCGTGTGGGATCGCCACGTCCTTGGCCTCGACATGTCAAAAGCATTTTACACAAGTAGCTTCATGAAGTAGAATAGTTCGCCTCTTTCTTCACACGTATATGATACCATGATGAAGGTCATCCGAAAAGAGGGCAGATCCCCAATGAGGCTGTTATATACACACCTGCTATTGAAGGACCATACATGTACATAGCGCTACTTGCGACTTGGAATAATTTAATTTATATAATAATAATAATAAACACAGCTCGCATCTTCCCTGAACCTGTTAGACAGGAGCAGAGTTGACGCATCTGTCAACAGTGTCAAGCCAAGTTAGTCTATCTCCTGCAGCTTGGAGAGCGCTCTACACGGAGAGATCCGCTGCCTTCAGGTCGTGCCGAATCGTATCTATCCACCGCAATGGCGGACGGCCACGGGGTTTTTTATGTCGTTTGTGTTGATTGATAGCTCCAGTGCTTGGAACGAGGCGGATTCCGGACCCTCTCGCACCACATGGCCAAACCACAGCAGCCTGCGTCGCCGACACGTGGCACTAACTGGAGATTGTTTTGTTTCTGTGTATAAGTTGTTATTGGTGATGCGTTGCGGGTAGACAATCTGCAGCAGTACGCGTAGCTTCCTCCGTTGCCATTTGTCCAATTTGCCGTTCAGCAATTTGGACAGAGTCCACAATCCGCAATTGTATAGAAGGATCGGCATTATGAGGCAGTTAAACATACACAGTCGGGATTGAAAGGAATGCCGTCTCCAAGAAATCGAACCAAACGCCCTGTTTGCTTTTGAGATTCTCATGTCCACGTCTTCTGCAGAGCCCAATAGAGAACCCAGGAGTTTGATTGATCTCCATTAGTTGCTGTTTCTTGTAACATCAATTCATTACAACATCTCAAGACTTTTATATATTTATATTTATTACAACATCTCAAGACTCGGTGGGAGCATCGGCCAATGGTAAGAGAGTGGGTGATTGCCAACCAAGGGGGTAAATAAAAATAAGGGGAGGGTAAAAGAAAGAGTAGCAAAACGAACAGCAACAACAACTCCGTAAAGAAAGATAGATAATGTCAAATAAAAACAGTGAAAAACACAGAGACGCAAAGGACATGTGGATAATGAGCTATTTGTGTCGTAGTAAATAAGCGGCGGCACGGATCTTAAACAGGCAGAGTGCAGTCAGATCCTTAACTTCTCTGGGTAGAGTGAGCCAAACAGAAAAAAACAATAAAGAGAGGGGAGCGCAAAAGAGTGGATAAGTTACACTTAGGGAGTAAGAGCGAGTTTCTAGTTTATTTTGGTACCTTCGGGCCTGGTTGGAAATTTTTATATCTATTGCTATCAGGTTCAGCCTCATTTCCTCTGTGCTGCGCTGATGAGTTCACAAAGAACGAAACAGCATGCTGTCCGCAGATTCAGTAGTTAACTTTATATATTTTTGGTCTGAATCATTTTTTTTGTGAGTCCTTTTTTCATTATCGTCATCTGTTTTGTTTTAGGTCTTTTTGGTGAAGCACGTAAAAGCATAATTAGCTGTTTTCTCGAGCATCCTGTGAGCATCCTCCAAAGCATAATCCAGTCATTTCCGAGCATAATCCGCTTACCCCTACTAGTGTGCAGAAGGAACTATGACACTATGTAGAATTACAGGGGTTGTGACTGAGAGAAGCATCATGGCGAGTCGATTGTCCAAGCCGGTTGTATTGTGTAGATAATGCTAGACAAGAGCAGTGATGTAGCAATGGGATTTGGGATAAAGAAGACGGGCTGTGAGACGTTGACGGGTCACTAGAATGATAAAGCACTTTTGTGCTCCCGCACTTATTGCCAGGCGTCAAGCGCCCAGCCTCCCTGCCTATCGGAGCCACCATACACAACAACAAAACTGAACTAAAGTTTTACATAATTTAATTATTCGACAAAACGGAGGCGAGCAACGGACAAAAAAAGAAGACCGGACACAACAAGGGAAACTGGAAACTGAAGAAATTGACAAACATCATAGCAGCACTTGAGCATGCACGCAAACAAAACAAAACAAAACTCATGACAATGATGTAACCGTTCCATGGTGCATGCACAAACTGGATGTGAAACCCAAACCATCCAACTGGGGGAAAAGGAGAGCGCAAAACAAAACAAAATATACCAAAGGACCACAACAAAATTGAGCCATGAAACGTCTTTCTCTCCAATAAAAACGATATGCAACAAGCGCTTGACACAAAGTATCTACAACTGTTCCCTTCAATCCAGTGCAGCAGATAATAATACTCAAAGATGTTAGAGGTTTGTTCATCACGTTTCCAGCAGTACTCTATATACACACAGGTATAATTACTATTCTCTGCGTTCAGTGGTGCAGTTGAGAATACTTACAGTGCTGTGAGGTTTGTTAGACCAGAGAACACACCGTCACTTAAATTCTGGATCTGATTAGTGTACAAAAATCTACAAACGACAAAGCACAAAGACAATGTTGTTCTTGCTATGTTCCGGGTAGTGCACAAACCACCGAGTCTAGGATGTTGTAGTTCTAATCTAAAAGGCCGAATCATGACCTTATTTTCAGAAATAACCTAGGCTCCTAACCGCAACATGATTTGCTTGCAACTGGGTTGGGTTGCACAGTTCACATACACCACTGTTCTCCGTCATTTTTCTTTAGGGCTGAAACGATCATTCAATAACTCCTTACAATCTACCAATATCACGATCTATAATTATATTGTTTTTATCGATTCTTGTTGGCTCTACTCGTGTACCTTGAGCACCAGTTTAGGTTGAAATTCCATAATACTTTCGCTGCATTAGAGATGTGTGGCACCGCACTGTTGACATCTAAATCCTGTCATAACCCTCTGGCAACTGCTCTTATCTTCGACCTCTCCCAGAAATGAACCAAAAAGACAAAGTCTTCTCTCCCGATCTCTTTCAAAGCCACAAATCAATTTTACCGCGCTTGAAAGTATATGATTGTACTCGTATTCACTATCGGATGGAGTGCAAGGCCTAGAATGTTATCACGGACATGCATGAATAAAAAATCGTTAGCACTCGTTTTTAACACTAGCGATTATCGATTGCACTCTTAACGATCGATATGCGAGTTATCGGTATAATTGTTACAGCCCTATTGTTCTTCTATTGTCAAGCAAGAGGTTTGTAGTAAAGCTAAGAAAACAAACTTTCTAACGATACATTGTTTGACACTGCAGAGACACAGTTCACATACACCACTGTTAATATAGTCTCCGTCATTTTTCTTCTGTTGTCAAGCAAGAGGTTTGTTGAAAAGTTAAGAGAACACAATTTCTAACTATGCATTGTTTGACAATGCAGACAAATAATTGGCCGCCGAAGCATGAACAATATACTGGCTTGAATTGTTACAAATTGCGTGAGAACTGAATATGACAGTATACCTAAACTGGGACTTCCCCAGGGATTCATAGTCTTTGACTGATCATGGCGTTAGAAAAGGTACACAAATCCTCGGTCTTCTTTACGATTCGTTTAATTAATGTTTCGTTATGTTGACACCCCCCCCCCCCCCACTTTGTTATATTTATGAAGAAATGGAGCAGAAATAAAGGAAGTGCGTGCCATAAGGTTTGAAGGTTCTGGAAATGTCAATGCTTTTCGAACAGAATCTGTCATTGTTTTTTGAGGATTATCCGCAATGGACGAATGCCTCATGGCTTCAAATAGTAATCTTAAGGCTATATCATCTTCGTTCTGCGCTTCCTAAAACTTCAGAACATTTAAAAGTTATAGAGGGATACATGATTTTACATTAGCCACTGTAATACAGTTATGAACATGCAGGAAGAAGTTGTTGCTCCGTTTACTGTGCGCTTCCGTCTGGGTATCGCATGCAAGTAACACTTTTCATCCAAGGATTAGGGATTCAGCTCTTGACGGTGCCCAGTTACCACTCTGGTCATCTGGACATCGACTACCTTTCTTTCAAACTCTCCCTAGTTACGGCTCAGCTAGATTTTTTAAGAGAACACAAATCTACAATCATGTTGAAAGAAAAAAAGTACATTGGACTGGGTAGGCGCTCAATGCCACAATGCCAGTTAATAGCTGTGCTGATGAAATACATGGACTCTGCCGACCATGGGTCTCGGCGTCACAGTGCCATGTATGCATCAAAATTAATCATAAGTTTATAATGAGCCAACACAAGAAAGTGACTAAAGACAAAAAACAAGGAAATAAAAAAACACAAAACAAGAATAATCTACGTGGAGATAATAATTTTAATATAGCTATGAATAGGATGAAGGCTGCAGACATCAAGCAACTACTTTACTTGTTTGACATGTATTTACTGTGTATTTTATAACAAAAATATTATTGAAAACCCATAATCGATTTTCTTGTTCCTATAGTATCTACCTCCCTATCAGACCCATTACTAGTCGTGTCTGGGGTACCCCAGGGGTCCATACTTGGGCCGCTCCTATTTCTACTGTACGTTAATGACTTGCCAGCCCTTGTACCAAATGTAAGTCTTTTTGCTGACGACACTGCTCTGATGTGCTCCGACAGCTCGGCAGACAACCTCACGGCCTCCATGCAGTCCGGGGTCAACGCTACAGTAACATGGATGGAAACCTGGAAACTGAAGCCTAACCTCGCCAAAACCGAGGCCATGTTCTTCTCTCCCTCGCCCCCCATTCAACTTCTGTATTTTCCTGGTCTAAATAGTACACCAATTAAAGTTGTTAACGAGCACAAGCACCTGGGCGTTATTCTCGACCGCCAACTCTCCTGGTCTCCACAAGTCCAGTCTGTGTGCAAGCGTGCGAGTGCGTCCTTAGGTATGCTACAACCCCACTGCCAACACTTGAATGATAACTGCAGAGAATTGTTCTTTAAGTCGTACATTTTGCCTATATTTGACTATTGCGATATAGCTTGGTGCGGGTTGTCTCAGACTTTACTCCACAGACTGGAGGTACATCAACGCTTGCTTCTGAAAATTCTGTTTAGAAAAGACCAAACATTTGCCTCCCTTTGTCTTTATAAACTTGCTTCCACGCACCCTCTTCTTGCCCGACATCAGCAGCATCTTTGTATCCTTGTGCAAAAAATCTTCCTAGCCCAAGTCCCGAAACATATTGCCAAGTACAACTGGTTTGTTACCACTAGACCAACACGCAATGCCTTATCACTGCCCCGAGCTAGTTCCTCTCTGTTTTTGAAATCCCCTTTCTTCTCAGCATACCCCCTTTGGTCTAACCTGCCTACTAGCATTAAGACATGCCAGGATATCAGGAAATTCACAGTCCAGCTTTCCACACTGTCTCATCCGAAGTGATCCCATGTATTATTAATGTGCCTCCCTTTCTTTTTCTCTCCCTATCTCCTTTCCCTCTCTGAGAGCATCTTTCTTTTTTTCCCTTTTAGCTTGCCGTGGTTGGCTATCACCTGACCTCTCATGTTTATTGGCAGTCTTCGGACGGGCCAGGAGATGTTGAATAAATAAATAAATAAATAATAAATCATCAGTGGGAAAAATACGAAACTAAGGATACAACCAAAGAAACTGAAGTTAAGTACTGTAAATAGAAAGGTGTTAGAAATACAAAGAAGATACACGTGCCATAAAACCACTAGAGGAAATGCAAAAAGGTAACAAGATTACGTAACCAAAGGCGAGAAGGCACTAAACGAAGTTTCAACCTACGAATACAACTGCACGACACAGTACAGAAAAATGCGTTTCCTCTAGTGGTTTTATTGCACTTGTATTTTGTTGTTATTTCTAACATCTTTCTATTTACATTACTGAACTTCAGTTTCTTTGGTTGTATCCTTAGTTCCGTATTTTCCCACTGATGATAGGAACAAGAAAATCGATTATGGGTTTTCAATAATATTTTTGTTATAAAATACACAGTAAATACATGTCAAACAAGTAACGTAGTTGCGTGATGTCTGCGGCCTTCATCCTATTCATAGCTATACAAAACAAGAAGGGAATAATAATAGTGGAAAAAAGGGGAGATTGAGAGATGTGTGGGTAGCTCTCGAGTGATACGGCAGGGTGAATCTTGACCAGAGTGGCTGGCAACTTCGTCCCATGTGTGTGCAGCAGTGGCTTTCAGAGGTGTTCTGTAGCCCACAGCCAGTCAGTATGTAGCAAGTGCTTCCATGCAGCTGCCTTGAAGCCGTGCAGCCGTTGCAGGGACATTGGTGGCTGGAACAGGGATGGTGGCAGTTGATTCCACAAACTGATGTACTCCGGTGCAGCTGGTGGTAGGGTACTGAGGAGCTGGTGAGGATGGGTCACCGCATGTGTGTGTCGGGTTCGTGGACGAACCACAGTGGGTGCAGCTGGTGGGACAATGTTGGTCAGCTGTTGTGGGCTTCCGATGCACTGAAGCTTGTACATGTAGCACAGCCCAGAGAGAGAGTGCGTCCTGCAGCCAGACTGTGGAGGAGCACATCTGGTTCTCGGATGGCCGTTGCTTTCCGCTGAATGCGGTTGAGCCTGGCCAGATGGGTCGGGGCAGCAGACATCCATACCAGCGGGGCATACTCCAGCATAGGGCGCATGAATCCGCCCTAGACACTCAGACAGCCATTGGTGTCAAGTATGCGGGCGGCTCGGCGCAAAGCCCAAGACGTTGACTTGCTCTCACCGCCATGCTGCTGATGTGCTGGCGAAACGAGAGCTTTGAGTCGAACAATATACTCAACAGCTTCAGTGTTGATGCCTGGGCAATGTCGACACCACCAAATGAGATGCCTGGAGTGGCTGGGGCCAAGGATCGTGTGCACAGTAGCTGCTGTGACTAGGATGGCTCAAATGTCACCCGCCACCGCTCACCCCACTCTTGAAGGCCATGAAGGGCATATTGTAAGGAGGCATTTTGGGGAGCAGCAGTTCCTGGTTGCAACAGGCTGTATAACGTTAGCGTGGTGTCATCAACAAAGGAGCTAAGGCGCGTTCCGGGGGTAAGCCATTGGTCGATGTCGCTGACATAGATAGGAAATAGAGTCGGCCTGAGGATACTTCCCTGAGGTACTCACGTAGTGATAGGCTGAGCAGATGAAGCTGGACCGCTGACCACAGATGCAACCTCTCTGTGTAGCATCTTTTGAAGAGAGCATGTCTGAGAATACCAAAGTATGTGGGCAAGTGGATCTCTCCGATTTCGCTCAAAATTTGCAGGTAGGTTCTCTTTGGGGTGTAGATCGATTGTGGAAAGCCCTTGAAAAGGTTTCTGAAGGGAACCTTGGAATTTGCATACCCCTCAAAAATGGCCGAAATATCACATTATTTATGGGTCTAGAAACGAGTCACGCCACAGCGTATACGAACAAGCTATGAACAAAACTCCATCAAGCCAACAGTACCTCACCTTAGAAGAGTTTCTGGAGCAGTACCGCTTAGCCACGCCACGGCCCAGGATCCCAGAAGACGAGGTTCA